TAGTGCTGGGGCGTTAGTGTGAGTCTGTAATCAGCGCAAGAGGCAGCTGCAGCTCAGCTGCTGAGCACCAAGTGGCACTGATTTTAGGCTGGTTTTCCTGTGAATCCCTGGTTGTGCACCCAGATGCTTGCTTCAGCCTCAATGAAAAGCAGTTTTCCACCCTCTGTCCTTGCTTCAAAGCCCCAGGGCTGGTTGGGGAGATGATGAGAGTGTCCCAGCTTGCTCCCCAGAGCTGCAGGGCTGGGGGAAATGGGGTTTGTCCTTTCAGGGGGTCAGAGGACCAGATTTGACCTTGCCTGGATGCCAGTCCTCTCCCAAAGCCTTGATGCGCCATGGTATCCATCTGGTTGCTGTGGTGGTGGGCAGGGGGAGGAATCACACGTCTTCCCACCCGCAACCATTCCCTGGCCCCCCAGCTCATCTTGGCACGTTGTCAGCCCATGTCAAGGCTTGGCTTCGGCTGAGACAGTCTGATAAAACACCCTGTTCGCCTGCTGCACGACTGCACTGACAGCAGACACTGCTGGCCTCTGGGGATGTCAGGGAAGGACAAGGGTTGTGCGGGATGGGGACAGGGTCCACCTCCATCCCATCACACTGACGGTGTCATCTTCCAGCACGAAATCCCCTGCCCTTTTCTATAGGTACCAACAAGCCTTCTGCCCTCTCCAGCCAGTGCTGCTGTGGTTAATAGCTGAGCAGATGAAACTGCAGCAAAGCAAAGGTCCCTGCCAAGCCCCCGCTCCAGTGAGGATGTTTGGATATGGGAAAGCTTCTGACAATCATGATTAACAACCTCTTCATCTATTCATGCCAGTGCTAAGCCATGGGAGCTCTGGGCCATCTCAGCTCTATAATCAAGACAGGTTGAAAGAAGCAATTTTCTCCTCTTGCAACTCGGTTAATTCTCATTTAATTGCTACCCAATTTGCCTAGATTTCCCTCGATTGCCATGGCATTGGCTCCACACTTCCTGCTCTCCAGCAGCGCTTGACTCATGTCTTGTTTTGCCAGGCTGGGCTTTGTGATGTCCTGGGTTGTGTTGGGGCCTCCAAATCTCTCCATGCAATTTCGGTGTAATGAGCTTGAGATACAGCTTTCATAGGAGAAAACCTCTGGGGACTGGCCTGGCCTTTGTTCCTTGTGTCACACAGTGTATTAGGGCACTGCTTTTGGAAAGAGAAATAGAAAGGCATGGTAATTACACACAGATGGGAAACGCTGGGGGCAGGAAACCTTCTTTAAAGGAAAAAAGCAAATAAGAGCTAACCAGAATATAGTGAATTTACAATTTAGGGGAATGACTTTAACCTGCAAGAGCGGAGACTAAGATGAGCTCTTAGGCAGAAGCTCTTCCCTGTGAGGGTGCTGAGGCGCTGGCACAGGGTGCCCAGAGAAGCTGTGGCTGCCCCATCCCTGGCAGTGTTCAAGGCCAGGTTGGACACAGGGGCTTGGAGCAAGCTGCTCCAGTGGAAGGGGTCCCTGCCCGTGGCAGGGGTTGGAGCTGGAGGAGCTCTAAGGTCCCTTCCAATACAAACCAGTCTGGGATTCTGTGATTCTATATAATCAGATGAATTTCCCTTAGCACCACCTGGCACAAAGGCAGCGGCCAAAAGGATCCTGTGTCAAAAGCTCTATGGAACGAGCTGTTCCCCCTTGAGCAAAAAAAAGGGCTACTTTGTCTGCTTAAGTCAATCTGCGTCTCTAAGCACATCTTAACCACATTAATGCGCTAAAATACAGCTCCCGTTAGCCACATAAATAACGTTCATCAGAATCATAGCATTTCTATTACCATGGCTTTGGGTTAGTGATGCAGCGCCGGTCAAACTTCAATACGGATGTAATCAGTCTAGCCTATTATCCAAAGCTTTTCCTGAATATCTCATTTTCCTTTTGAACCAGCAGCCACAGTCCCGTTGCTTTTCTCTGCCTTGGACTGAGGTCCTGCTTCTGTGTTTGCAGGGTATTCCATTTACAGAGCTTTTCAGGCTGTGTTTTTCCTTGGTTGTGTTGCTCCAGGTCTGTCCTGCCTCCTGCTGTGCTGAAAACCTCTCTCCAATCAGGAATGCTGCAAGTGCTTAAGCAGGACTCTCCATTTTGGCCCGTATTTCACATACCCGCAGTATTTTGGCCCATATTTCACATTCTCCAGAGCCACCAGCTCCTTGGGACTCTCCAGCTATCCCTGCAAGAAGGACCTCATCCAGCCTCTAAGACCTCACCAGCACCCCTGGAGCTGTAAGCATAGGAGAGGAGACCCTCCTTGTTGCAGCATGCAATCATCTGCTCTCCTGAAGGCTTGGTTTCATCCCAAGCAAAGCTGAAGCCATTCTGGAAGCCAAGAGATGCACTCGGAGACAATCCTTTGGGACCAAGCCACAAGCCCTGACACCTGGTTAGGTAAGGATGGGGTATGTCCCACTGGGGCTATTTCCTTTGGGGCAGAGGAGGCTTCTGCGGAGGGTCCCTCGTCCCTCATCACACTGATGTCTCCTGAAGCAGGTATCAGATCTGGAAGACTGAAGCTAGGGGATGTTCTGTAGCAGAGGGCTCTTGCAGGATGGTGCTCAGGAGGCAGAGCACAGCATCTCCCTATGCAACACAGTGCAAACCCTCAGTTTCTCCAGGAGGCTCAGCAGAAGACTTGAGCAGCCTAAAAGCAGGAGTTTCCCAAGGAAGCTTTTGCCTGGCAAGGAGGAGAGCAGGGCAGGGAAGCTCAGCCATGGTTCCTGCAGGGGCTCTGCTGGTGCTGTGATGGGAGCAAGCTCTTGGAGACTACGAGGGGCCAAACTGTTTCCAAAGAAAGCTGGAAAACCTGGACAACCCTTGGTGCACATAGAATCATTGAATGGTTTGGGTTGGAAAGGACCTTAAGATCATCTGTTTCCAATCCCCCTGCCATGGGCAGGGACACCTCACACTAAACCATGGCACCCAAGGCTCTGGCCAACCTGGTCTTGAGCACTGCCGGGGATGGAGCATTCACAACCTCCCTGGGCAACCCATTCCAGTGCCTCAGCACCCTAACAGGGAAGAACTTCTTATATCCAATCTAAACTTCCCCTGTTTCAGTTTTAACTGTCACTCCAGTCCCTGGTGAAGAGTCCCTCCCCAGCATCCCTATAGCCCCCTTCAGATACTGGAAGGCTGCTATGAGGTCTCCATGCAGTCTTCTCCAGGCTGAGCAGCCCCAACTTTCTCTCCCTATTTCCATATGGGAGGTGCTCCAGCCCCCTGATCCTATGATCATCCCCATGAGAATCACTGAGCTGGGAGGTGACTCTTGGCCATGGTGACCGACCCATCACTGCTCCTTGCAGATGCCCATCTCCGGCACACAGTGTGATGCACCACACCTCTGCTGCCTTTGGCACCGCTCCCCAGGGAGCAGCCAAAGAAGTCTTTTCTCCAGGGCTGAGCAGGTAGGTCTCTGATGGGACCTGTCAGAGCCGTGCTTGCATCTCTGATCTATAGACCTCCTCCAAACTGGAGACATCCAGCCCTTTGAAAATGTCATGAGAGTGGCAGGGAGCTTCCTGTCTCCTGCTGCCAGGAGAGGAGAAAAGCCATTTAACTGTGCCTGCAGCGACAAACATCAGCAGGAGGGAGCAGTGTGAGAGATGGCATTGGAATTATGGGATGCAATAGTTATGTGGGGGTTTGGAAGTGCTGGAAGGGCAACACTTCACAAACAAGAGGCATCTTGCAGAAAGCCACCAATGAGCCCATCGGCCTATAAGCCACCCCAAAATTTCCTCTCCCTTCCTTCCCACCTCCTACCCCTTCCAGGAGCATTGCCAGCCTGGGAAGGTATAGACAGGGTTAAACATATAGGAATGGCCTAAAGCTGTGGGCAGAAATGCTGTGTCTGAGCCAGGGTGGAGGAAGGGGAATGATGGTCCAGCTTGGCTTTAAAGCTATAAACCCTCCATCTGATGGACAGTGCATCATTCTTGGGGCAGTGGAGCAGGTCCTGGCTCTGGCAGCGGGGATGTTTGCCCAGGACAGCCTGTCTGGGAGGTGGGATGAAAGCTCACATCCTCCATAAAGAATTAAATCATGAGCTTTCCTCTCCCTCCATTCAGGCTCTGGATGGCAGGTTTGCTCCTTTGGTGGCTCTTGGTTTGCTGGGGATGTAGCACAGGCCAGCCAGGACCCCCAAGCTTTGACCTTGGATGGCAAGACTGAGGCTGGAGGGCAACTCCATGGTGGGTTTCATGTGTTAATCAAATAGAGGAGCTAAATCAGATTCCATCTGTGTGTGCTGGAAAGGCTCCTGTGAGCCTGCCCCCCTCCCAGCCTGGGATACCCCATTTGCAAGGTCCCACTTCGCCTTTCCCAGCCCCAATAACATCAAGGGTTAACGCAGGGTTATCTCAAGAGGCTACAACCTCATCAAGAGCACAGGCTCTGTAGGCTATTAATTTTGGAATTACTTGATATCTTTAAATACAATCAAGCAATCAGCAGGAACCTGTCATTATTATTTATGTGCATGGTGCTTACCAAATTACAGCGCTCTCCAAGGCTCTGTGTGATGAACAAATTAATTCTGCAGCGGAAGAGCTTGACCAGAAAGATGTTTGTGTCTGAATTTCCCTCGTAAATATTGATGGATGGAATGAAAGTCGAGTTTAATTGGCCCTCCCTCCTGCTGGGAAGCACATTACAGCTTTATTCTGCCTTTGCTCAGCTGGCGAGAGGGAGCGTCACAGGAAACAGAGGAGTTTCTCTAACCCTGATGGTACTTAAATGGGAGACCCACATAGGGTGCTCCTCATCCCCCTTTAGATGAGGTGGTCTTGGTACCCTCATGGTATCATGCTATGGGCATGTAGACTTGGAGTAGAGAGGAGACAAGAAACCACCAGCTGCCCCTAGTGCCTCTGGCCAGTAGGATGCTGGTCCCAGTGCACCATGGAGATGCTCCCATGGGAAGTGGGGAGAGCCCATGCTGGGGTTGTGTTTTCCAAATGATAAACATGCTCCAAAAGCCCTTGTGAGAGGAATCGAAGTAACTTTAATCAAACCAGGCTGAGAATACACACATTTCTCCAGCTACACAAAGCAAAGTCATATCAGTCAGAAGAGACCACCAACAGAAGGAAAAACCAGGGATGCGAACACAGATGCTTCTGGTTGAATTTCTTTCTTTGGTTTTGCATTTTCCATCTTCTTTTCCACCCAAAATGACACCGCTTTAGGAAAATCCAAATTGAAGGTGAAGCACATCCCTTTTTTGGTAACATCACTTGTACAGATGAAAACAAGCTCCCTGGGCATTTCCCCTCCTCTGTAGCCAGTAGATCTTTGTTAATCAAACTGGCCCACAGTGGGGACACCCAAATCTGCTCCTTGTAGAGCATCAGCAGTGGGAGCTCCCAGTTTTCCCATTGAATAACTCTGGGGGTCTTTTTCTCACCCATATATTGAATAAGGGGCAGTTTCTGGGACTGTTGGTGATGGATGAGCTTGTACAAGGATGAAAACCTGCCCCATGTACAGGTGATGGTCCTTGTTGTGGTCACTGTGTCATACAGGGAGCTGCTGAAGCTCCCAGTGTGTTACCAGGGGCAATGGGGTAGTTCTGGTTTTGGCTGCACCATTGACATGCAAGGAGGAAATCCCAGTGGGAGGGAAATGGGAGGAATTTGCTACAAACTATTGAGCTTCTGAAATGCTTAAAGAGAGAACTGAAGGTTTTTGCCTGTGTCTCCTATAAGAAGAGGAAGATTTTATTCCTTTCTGGCGGTGTATCCTGAGGAAATCTCAGACCACGACAATTCCCAAATGCTCAACTCTCCCTAGGGCAGGAAACACTTAGGTCTGTTCTTTACAGCAGGGAAACTGAGGCACAGGAACATGAAGGGATTTGTACAAAACCAGGCAACATCCCTGGGATGCAGAGAGCAGACTCGGTCCATAACCCCTCTGTCACCATCTTCCTGCCCGAGCATCCCCAAACCTCATGTGGCTCCACCTCTCATGGACCTCTCTGCTGAGCTGCTTTGGGTGACCACATGAAACAGGACATCAGGGGCTTGGCAGCTGCACGGGAGATGTGGTGATGTCCCCAGCACGGGGAGGGAGGCTGCTGCTCCTCCAAGGCACTTAACCCTGCGCAGGAATGATTTGGCCCCATCCCCTGCATGAGAGCAAGGAGCAGCTTTGGCACTGAGCATGGGTGAGATCAGGGCAGGGAGGAGGGGAGCAAAGCCATGTCCCTGTGGTAGCTGCCTCTGGGGAGCTCAAGCACCTCTTCGCTGCTGTTCTTCCTGACTTTTCCACCCTCCAGACATGGGCACAGGGTCAGGGGCTTTGCAAAGACCTATAGATCCATCTAGGCAAGGTGGGCCAAAGGATAACCTAAACCTTATGCCTCCCTTCAGACCTACCCCCCTCCATGTGGCTGTTCAGAGCCCCTGGCATCCATCCCTGCACCCTGCATTGTTCCCTCCCCTCTCCCACCCCACTGCTCTGCCTCAGATCCTTGGTATTGAGATGAGAAATGACCTGGCCAGACCAAACAGCAGTTACAGGACATCCTGGGGATGCAGCAAGGAGCAGGAGAAGGGCTCAGATAACCCCAGTGGTACAAAACCACAGCCACATAAAGCAATCCATCCAGGGCTCTCCATCCACCCATCCCATGTCAACTCAGAGGGCTTTGAACTCCCCGCAGAGGGTTATGCCCCTTCCCAACAGCCTCCCCCTAGAAGGCTGACCCAGCTTCCCAAGGACCAGCCTCATAGGCTGTCCCAACAAGGTCCTGGTGTCCTGTCACCTCAAAGCTATGACAACGATGGGACACGGGGCAGCGCACACAGGGTGGCTGCTGCAACCTCTCCAGGCTTCTCTGGCTCCTTCTGCCACCCAGCAGGTCACACCGCTGCCAGGGAGGTGACAAAGCAGCCTCTCAGCTGTCCTATCCTACAGGTCTGCCCCAGTGAATAGGGCAGGAGCCTCTGTAGGGTTTCCCACAGCGAGTTAATGCACCCTCTGCTGCAGTGGGTGCAGCAGGACCCGGCTCCTGTGCTGTGCCATGTCAGGGTCCCTCACAGCACGGACACCAGCTCCTCATCCTGTCTGGAACCTCGCTCCTGGCTCAGACGGCCGTGGACTGCTTGATGCTGTGGAAGCTGACACGGGTTGGGGAGGTGGGGATGGACATGGCCCGAGCCACACGGGCACGGATGGAGTGCTTGTCCTGCCACCGGTGCCACCGCTTCCGTACAGCCGATCGGACCTGCGGGGACGAGACGCAGGAGGGGACAGTCAATCCCTGCACAGCTCTCAGAAGCTGCGCATGGGCACCAGCCATCCTCAGTCTTTCAACCAAAGTCTGAGGAGGAACGGCTGAGGGACCTGGGGGGTTCAGTCTGGAGAAGGCTCAGGGGGACCTGATCGCTGCCTACAACTGCCTGAAGGAGGATGGAGCCAGGAGGGGCTGGGCTCTGCTCCCAAGGAACAAGGGATGGGACAAGAGGAACCGGCCTCAAGCTGCACCAGGGCAGGTTTAGATGGAGCTGAGGAACAATTCCTGCCCCAGAGGGTGCTCAGGCATTGGAACAGGCTGCCCAGGGCAGGGCTGCAGTCACTGGCCCTGCAAGGGTTCACACCCAGTGGAGATGAGGCCTCAGTGCCATGGGGCAGTGGTGGCCTTGGCAGTGCTGGGGAATGGTTGGACTTGATCTTAATGGTCTTTTCCAACCCAGCTGATTCCATGATTCTATTAAAAAATGCTACCAAAACCTGGTTCCGAGGCAGGGAGGGCCATGGGAGCCCCTGTCACCTCCCAGGGCGCCCAGCCTTGTTTGATGTGATGCTGGTGAAAAGCAGCTGTTGCAGCTGCAAAGAGAGATGAATCTAAACAAAGGTGTCTCTGAACTCAAAACTGAAACAAGAGGGAGAAATGAATCTGAGCAGGAGCTCTGCAGCTTCTTATGTGCTGCACTGGATGCTGCAAGGGGTGGGGAGTGATGCGAGCAGCAGCCACCTGATAGTCCTGGTCCTGTCCCTTCTTCTCCTGCATCAGTTATACATGATTTGGTAACAAAGCAAGCTTGTCTGGAGCAAACTCTCCTGAACCAGCGAAGGTACAAGAGCATTTGGGAAGAAGCAGAGGAAAAAGCTCAGGATCAACCTCTACCCTCACCTCCTGCTTTCTGCTGTCTGCGTTTTGGGTCAGAGCCTGGGAATTGCTGTTGTCCAGGTGCCAGGCACCCACATGTGTCTGTTTGCAAGGAATAGTGAGGACCCCCCTGAGCACCCCCAGCCCCTGGTGCTCACCTCGCTGTTCAGGAAGCAGTAGAAGACAGAGACGAAGAAGCCCTGGAAGGAGACAAGCAACAGGGTCGCTGTGGAGCTGTGGTCAGAGGGCACCCGCAGGCTCAGGAGCTTTGGAACAGCCCTGAGGTTTGGGGGTGTCTGGTTTGGGGAGGTGGCAGAAGCGGGGTGAGGCATCAGCAAGGATGGGCTCCTCCACATCCCTTGGTGGGGAACGGGGATGGAAGCTTGTGCTGAGGACCATACCTGGAAGGACTCCAGAAAGGAGTTGAAGTAGATGAAGACGATCCTGGAGATCTCATCCTCCCCCGGGTTGACAAAGAAGAGCATGTAGGTGATCCCCAGCAAGGGCAGCAACACCAGCGTGGCCTTGACTGCTTTCCTGGAGGAAAAACATTGACCTGAGCTGCTGCAGTGCAGCCCTAGGAGCAAGGATTCAGCACCAGCATGGCTGGGACTGGTCTGTCTGGGTCTGGGGAGGATGGAGCAGCACTGAGCTGTTTTCTAATGTGACCCCCCAAGTGACTTGGGCTGGTTTGAGCACTGGACACCTACTGTGGTTGCTCCATCCAGAAAAGGGCAGTGCAGAGTGGAGGCCTGACCTTGAGCTGGCATGAAATGATTGCTTGGCTGCTTGGAGGATCGATTAAAAAGGAATTAAAGAGGATGAAATAATTCACACACTTCAGCATGGGTTTATGAGAAACGGTGCTAATTAATTTGATATCTTTTCTTGATGAGATTACAAGTGTGGTTTCTGAAAAGTCATAGTGCTTATACAGGAGCGCGTGGGATGGATTGGGGCTTGGCATCTCATCCACTCGGATTAAGGAACAAGAAAATGCTGAGTCAAGCTTTTGCTTAAAGATCCTGTGAATGGATAGATTCCAACATTAGCTGAATGCAGGAAAGTCACCCCTGGTAGGGGTGGGCAAGGACAGTGCTTGGGACCTGTTCTGCATCACTGACCTAGAGGAGAGCCACAGGGCATGAGCACCTTCAGGCTGGCAAAGTATGGGACAGCACATGCACTGCTGCAGCTTCTCCAAGGCAGCAGCTATGATAGCCGGGGATCTATCGGCTTTTAACCAAAAGCCACCATCCAAGGTGAGCAGGAGTCCCCCAGGGGCTGTCCCTTGCCTGGTTCAAGCAGTCTGCACACTTGATAACTGATTTGAGAACTCAAAAGTCTCTCAAGACTCTGAGGCCAACCTGCCTCTTCCAATAACCCTTATCTTTGTTGAATCATTCATCCCAGCTCAACACCCCACGATGAGGAAAGCTGGCTTTTCCCTAGTGACTGCATCTGAATTTTTCCATGCTCAGCTGAAAAAGCCACCTTCCGCCCCAAACCTGCGCACAGTGAGATTCCCTGATTCCTGCCCCCAAAATGAAATGAAATGGAGAGAAGCACTGATGAAGACCAAGGTGTCATCTCCAGGTCTGGGTGCTCTGGAGAACTGATCTGACCAGGCATCTCCCAGATATTCCAGAGCAGGGAAGGGTTAAATCTTACTGCCCGGTGCTGCCAAGTGTGCTGCCTTCCCCGCACTGCTTCGTGAGGAGGTGTTTGGGCTGACATTGATTCATTGCTCCTTCCTCCGCCTTTGCTTTGCTCTCAAGCAGAGATTTAATTCTCACGTTTGCGCCAGGATTTGCAGCTCTGAACCCGGTGACCTGGTGGGGTCCCACCAGAACAGGGTTTTGTACAGAGACTCCACTCCCAACAGCTCCCAGAGGCAGATATATCCATCCGTGTTCTCCATCACTGCCCAGGATTTCTGAACAACCCCAGATGCGATGGCCACGTGCCTCCAAAAAGCATTTGAGGAGCTCTTAGATGTCTCTCTGTGCCTTGATACTTGATGAGGCTGTTCTTGTTCCTCCCAGTCATGCTAACGCATGGGTCTGTTTTCTGCAGGGTCACTCATGCTCTTACCTGTACTGGATGGTCTCCGACGTGGTTGAAGCTCGGAGCTTTGTCATGAGGATTCGGACGATGTTGAAGAGAAAGATGAAGTTGATCTGGAAGGAAAAGGGCTCCTGGTTAGTGTCTCCTCCCCTAAGGTTCCCTCCCAATTCCTCAGCAGAGGCTGAGCCAGGGGAAATGGGAATGTTTCCTCTTGAACCTCATCTACTGCCTTCCATGCACTGGAACAAGACATTGGATGTTTTTAGAGCACCTTAGCTCTAAGGTTTAGGGGTTTGATGAAGGCCAAGGGCACACCAGGAGACTGAAGAAGAAGGGCAAGTGTTAGAGAAAGGGCTGAAGGTGAAAACGTGTGGAGGAGGAATATATGCAGCTGAAGGGGTTTTAGGAGAGCGGCTGCTGTCACAGCAAGCTTGGATGCTCTCCTGGCTGCTGACCTGCTAAATGAGGGCATGGGAAGGTGGCACTGGGAGCTGAGCTCAATTGCCACCAATTAGAAGTGGCCTGGCTACCTGATGGGCTGGGAAATGAGGAGCAGGATCAATTATTCACTGCAGCTGCTTGGTGCTGCTGATTAATACTCCCTTGGGGTTTCTCAGCATTGGGCAAGGAGGGAGGAAAAGTCATGGGTCTTTGTGCACATCTTTCCTCCTGCAAATGCATGTTGGACCCCTGGCACTGCTGCTTGTGACTTGCCATCACTGCTCTTCTTTGTCCCTTCCCAAAGGGGCAAAGCCCCAGCAAATGATGCTCCATCTGAGCACTGGTTCAAGCACCGCTGCTCAGCCAAGGGCCAGGAGAAAGGTGATGTGGATCAAGGAATGAAGTGCCCAGGCTTCTGCAAATGCCTGGCAAAGCAGCCACCTGCACCCAAATAGTGCCAGGGCAGGGATGTTGCCAGGAAGCACTTAGTGCTGCATGTGTGGGTCTGCTGACAGGAGCATCCTTATCAGAGTGATGTCTCCCTTTCTAACCCATCTCAAGCCAGCAGGATTCATGCATGCTATTTCTTACTGTGGGTTAGGTGCCCAAATTTGCTTAAGATGCAGTCTGGGTGAGGGGAGCTGGGCTTGCAGATCCATCTGCAGCAAGACCCTGCTCAGGAACAGCCTTATCCCATGTGCAGACAGGAAGGACCCTCTATTTAGCAAGCAAGGCCACTTTGCTCTTACCAGAAGCACCAGAATCATGGGGCCTTGGTAAATGTAGTCTGTATAAACTCCTGCTCTCTTCCCAAACCAGCACCTGCAAGGCAAGGACAAGCAGTGCTGGGAACAAGCCAGCAGCGGGAGTGACCTGGATTTGCACAATCTCGGTAAGTCACTATAGGGTGAATGCACAATGTGAATGGCTGTAGCCACTATGGAATAGTTTCCCCCCAAAGGTGGAGGTACAGGGGGCTTGTGAGGGTGTTTTTGGGCCCCATATGGATGTGGGAAGTGGCTATTGTAAGAGAAGCAGGGACAACCTTACACATGCACATGTCCAAGTTGGCTCTGTCCCCAGCGATCCCTGGGGAAGCTCCTGGGAGCACCTTGTTTGGTTTTGTTATATCAGTGCTGTGCCTGTGTGTGTAGCACAAGGCTCTGGGAGTCAGGGGTAAAACCAGCCCTGAAAAACAAGGCAAGTTGCCATTCATCTCCATGGGCTCCTTTTAGCTTAAACCCAGTGATGAACTCTCAGGTGCCTGTTAAGACTTCCATTAGCAAGTCTCTGAGAAAATGGCTCAGGTGGTGGTACTTTTTATCTCTGCTGGTAGATTAAATCCCAGCTCCATTTAGCAAATACATTGTAGGAGCTCTGGCTTAATCTGGCCTTTTCCCCTGCCTTCAAAATCTCATTTGTCCTTTGAAGGATAAAATGCAGCACTAGGCAGCTGCAGGCAGGGCTCATGTGGCACAGAGCCTGAAGGTGTGATGGAAGAAAGAAGAACATTGTCCTTTTTTTCCTCCCACCCTTTCCATGTATTCCGCCTCATGTCAGCCCTTCTAGGCAGGAACCATGCCTGCCACTGCAGCTGGGATAGAAAGGAGAATGGGGAATGAGAGCGATCAGGCTCACTTCTCATTGTCGTAGTACAGCTTCCCGATGGCCCAGGCAACGATGATGGGGAAGGGGATACCTGCAGAGGAACACACAGAGGAACATTCAGGGGTAGAGCATTGCCACAAATCCCTGCTGTAACAGGGATGTTCTCTCATGTCGCCATGCAAATCCCATCCTCCTGCTCCTGGCAGCCTTTTAGCAGCGCTTTGAGTGCAAGGAGAGGTGGAGGATAGAGGTGGGCATCACGGGAGGTGACTCCTGGTACTTACACCAGCCGATGCAGATGAACATCCATTTGCGGAGCTTGTCTGTGGAGTAGGTGAGCACGATGGCTGTGTGCAGGTAGCAGCCCTCACCAAACATCCAGAAGAAGTTGGTGACATGGAAGTAATTGTAGGCAGCAGTGACCAAGCGGCACCAGACCTGCCAAGGGGGATTAGGAGGAGACAGGGAGGGTAAAGAGCAGGGTTCTGTGTTGTAGTGATAAAACTGATCACAGAGCACAGCAGAGCAATTGAACCCTTGTGTATCATAAGCCAGTGCTATCCTCCAGCCAACAGCAGCTAGTTAGACCCTCAATCTTTAGGATGCTCAAGCTCCACACACACTCCAGCTGCAAAGGGCTGGGATCAAACTGGCTGCCCCACTGAGCTGCACCTACCACATTGCTCTCATGCACCTCTGGGTTCATCGTGAGCTGCACCACGAACCACGTTGCATTGCGTAGGATGAAGGCTGTGATGAGGTTCCAGTGGATGATGTTCCTCAGGCACCGGATGCTCCTGGGGAAGGGGGGGGACATCAGAATGCAGTGGGTGTCTGGGGGGTCAGGGCTGTTTGTGGAGCTGAATGTCTTTGTTGGGAGACCAAGGGTGAGCTGCTGGGACCATGCTCTGGGTGAGATGGGCAGGACCAAGGTCCAGAGGTGGAAGGCACCAGGGATGCCTCCATAACCAAGAGCTTTAAAGGCAGCAAGGGAGAAATAACCCCGGGATAGGCATCATCTCTCCAGACTGGAGAGCAATGGCCATGGGAGAGGACATGACAAAATGCAGGGGATGGATCCATCCCCAACCCAAGGGCTATGAAGTGACCTCTATGGGCTTGTTCACCCTTTAGGGACATGGCAGCAGGTCAGACCACTCACCGCAGGCGCATGAAGAGGACGAAGGCCACGAGGAGGGCCCCCAGCGAGACACAGTGCCCCAGGTAGTTGATGATGACAGCAATGTGGTAGTGCAGCTTGCTCTTCTTCTGGTGAGGGGAGATGGGGAGGGGGTCAGCAGCAGCCCCGGGTACCAGCACAAACTCACCTCCTCCAACACATCACCTCTGAGAACTGCACCACACGTTTTGGGTCCTTTTCAGAAAGCAACTGGAGCCAAGCACATGCCAGGACAGTGGAGAAGGGGCCGGTTGGATGGGGCTTACATGGACAGGAGAGGCACCAACCTTGCCCTGCAAAGGACAAGGTTGGTGCCTCTCCTGTCCATGAGCCAGGGAAGCTCATGGTTGCTGTCTCTACATTCCCTACATTCCCCTTGCTCATTGCTGGGACATCCCCAACCCATCATCTGGGGAAATCCTGCTGTAATTCAGGCGAGCTCAGCAGCAATGTGACATCTGATGTCTCAGTTCATTCCCCATTGCCCTGGGGGTATGAGAGGCTGGGATGAATTTGGGCAGAGGGAGCAGGAAGGTGTGAGTGATAATTAGATTAATGGATTGCTCCTGCTGTTAGGCACTCATCCAGCCTGGGAATTAGCAATTAACTTGGTGAGAAAACCATTCCTGGCAAGAGTTATCAGCATCTTAAATACCAGAGATGGGATCAACTGCAAATGAACAGCCTGTATCTCTTCTCCTTTACTCTGAGGGGTAGCTTGACCGACTCAGGAGTACGTAATTTTTGCTCAGCATCTGTTTTGTCCCTTTCAGCTTCCTAAACATCTTTACGTCACTGCCAGCAGGGAGGGATGGGGTTGCAACCTTATATCTGCTGCCGCACACCCACCCCACATCTCCCTTGGGCTGTTCCTGATGTGGATGCTGTTGCCTTTCAAAACCCCATTGTCTGTTCCTCACCCCATTGCTGAGAGACCAGCCAAGGGACTACCAAGGTCCTACCTCTTCACTGAGGATCTCCTGGCACTGGGAATAGTTGACCCGTGCTGCCCAGCTCCCGTTAGCGAGGCATTCCCTGTAGCCATTGTCTGAAAGAGAGGGTGCCCACTGAAGGGTAAACAGTGCGTGGGGATGGGTACAAAGATGTCACCTGATGATTGTCACTGATGCAGGGGTCACTGGCATCAAGTCCCCTGGCTTTGAAGCCAGCTCAGATGGTGCCTTGCTTACAAGTCTGATTAGCATCAGCAGTGGGGAGATGCCAGCAGTGCATTAACAGAAGAGATCCTGAGCCTCTTCAGGACAATGGGTCAGGGATGGGAATGGTTGTAGACCTCTATGCCATCTCCAACAGCAGGGCAGGCTCACTCCTCTTCCCCTTGGCCCAAGGAAGCTGTGGCCTCCCCATCCCTGGCAGTGTTCAAGGCCAGGTTGGACACAGGGGCTTGGAGCAAGCTGCTCTAGTGGAAGGTGTCCCTGCCCGTGGCAGGGGTTGGAGCTGGAGGAGCTTTAAGGTCCCTTCAACCCAAACCAGTCTGGGATTCTATGATTCTATGGCCCCCAAGGAGCCAGCATTCTCCCCCTTCTCATGTCTGGGAGGACCTGCTTATAAAGCTGCTGCTGTGCAACCACCCTCCCTGGAATTAAGGGTATGAGAGCGCTTTTATGGTGGATCCCACAGAGACCCCAGTGAGCTCTGTACCCAAAGATGTAGCATCACTCATGCCCCACAGCCCCTGATGCACGTGGGGCTGATGCACATCCCCATCCCTCATCCACCGTGTCCCCACTGGTGCTGCTCCTCTTACTTGTGGTGTTGTACCGCACGCCATAGAAGTATTCAGGGCAGGGTCGAGCCACCAACTGTCCCACTGCGCTCCGGGGCCAACACGTGCCGATGAGGTCTACTGAGGCATTGCACTGGGGACCTGTAGGGAAAGTCGGTTATTAGAGGTCTATGGTCCACTGTGGGCCACCTCCAGGCCGTCGAAGGGCCAAGGTTTGCCTGGAGAGCTGGGGCTGCAGTTCTGGTTGAGCTGATGGGTCCCTGCAAGCTCAGTGCCCAGAAGAGCTTCATGATAGACACCAAATGTGGGCTGTGACAAGGCTCCCAAGGGCTGGTTGATCCATCCTGATAATGGCTATTGCCCTAGTCCTGTCTGAGCACCTGGCTTAAGCTCAATTCTAGTACAAGGTGGTTTTCTAACCTGGTTTCCTAAGTTGGCCTGGGGCTCCCTGGCTCTGGTGTTCCAGCCCTGCTCCTTTCTTCAACCATGACTTTTGGCATCCAGACCCACAACAGCCAACAAGAAGTCAGGTTTTATTCTTACCTAGTGATGCCACCTGATGACCAGCCTGGTCCTGGTGGGAAGCTCCTCAGAGCCCCTCCAACCCTCTTACACCTCCTGGCTGCAAGCTCTCCTTCCTCACTGCTCCCATTGGTCTCTTCCAGCCTTCCCCTCAAAGAATACTCCAAGTCTGCTGCTGCTATTTCAGTTTTCGAGCAGGACTTGTGTGCTTTTTGCAGCTACACCAGTGTGCTAATGTAGGCATTAGGTAGGCCAGATTGCAGGCTTTTTTATGTCTGATTTGTGTATATTTAGACCAACACGTACTGCAGCTAAATACGTCCTAGCTCCATCTCAAAGTGAGGTAGGAAGTACAATGGCTGTAATATCTATAGAATACAACCCTTGGCAGGCAGCAGATGGATGGGCAGCACAACCTGGAAGGGGCAGAGATCAGTGCAAACCACTGAACCAAAGGTGTTTGTGCTGCTGTCATTTCCTAAGACAAAACCCTCCCAGTTCACAGCTCTCAGGGTGCGAGAACACAGCGTTTCCCCTCCACATGGAATCTTAGGTGCTATTTGGATGCCTTTCCCCAAACTTCCTATGGAGAGAGCTGACAGAGGAGTGACTGAACAGAACAATGCTGTTATTAATGTGATGGTTTTCATAGTTATCTGCAGATTTGGTTTCTTGGGCTGTTCTCAAATCAAATTTCCAGTGCAGAGAAAAGGAGGGATTTCTTTAAACATCTTTGTAATGGAAAACGGCTCCCGAGCTGGGGAAGCATCCGAGCGTGGTGAGTGCTACCTCCTGCTTTCCATAGCTTGTAGTAAGAAATTAATTTTAACTATGACCTTTGCTTTTAGCTTTGTTAATGTGGAGGGTTGCTGCAGCAACCTTCAATTTAACTGTTTTAAGCCTGCATTTCTTAGGGAACAAGGTGCATTTAATCATGCGTAGGGTGCTTGTTTGAGCCTATCTGCATCCATTAGCATTTGTTAAGCTCTTCAGTTGTTTTGACCCAAATCTGACGGAGAAATAGAGGGTCACAGAGAATGAAGTCTCAGTTTAAAATTTTATTTCTTTATTAAGTGTTAAATTATTTTATTATAATATTCATCCAGGTAAAGAAAAGGCAACGGGTAACTGCTTCAGCTAAGCACAAAGTTAAATTGCCAGTGCTCTCCCTATTAGCCACTTGAGAATCCACCCAAGTGAGAAGCTTGCTTGAACAGCTGGAATAGGAAAAGCTCCACTTGGAATAACCCAGCACAGAAGAAGGATGCCTGCACAGGGCTAATGCTCAGAGCAGTCACCAAAAACCCACCCTGGGAGTGGTGGGGCTGAGAACAAACTCCATCTTTAACCCATCCTCTCATGCCTCAGTTTCCCTCTCGCATCCCAGGGGCTGTGCTGGGGCCCAGATGCAGATTGCTCAGGGAGGGCAAGCAGGAGGCCTCAGTAATGAAAAGTGAGCAGAACCAGAGTGGCAGCAGCAGTTCTCTGCGATAGTAAAACCAAGCCATGACAATGCCATTAATAACCAAACCCAAGACAGATTCATGGAGATGCTGTGGTCACACAAAGGGAGCATTGTTCTGTTACCCATATACTCAAGTCTGGATTTAACATCTCCACGTTTCTCCAAGGCACTTGGTTAAATGCTGCTTGGCACTCCCATTAAAGCACTATGGACACCCATTAGATGACAAACCAAGTGGATGTGTCTTGCAGTCCCACCATGGCAAGGACACGAAGTGAAGGTGGAGCAGCATCACCAGGAGCTCGGTCCCCTCCATGTCCCATAGGCTGGGGCTGTGGTGTGGGCTGATGCTCAGGCTTGAGGGATGTAGGAGGTCCCTAGGACTTCACACTGCACAGGGGGCTTTGCTCCAGCACTGCTGTAGGCAGCATTTTGAGGTCTATCCCACTGGTTTGTAACCTATGGGTGACTGGAAGATGTTTCCCTGGCTCACCCTGAGAAATACTTGATGAAGAAAAGCAGATGCTGCTCTTTCTGCTCTCTCCAGCATATAGGGAAGAAAAAACCCCTCCTGCTGGGGAAGGGTTAAGTAAAACAGTGAAGGCAAAGAGTGCCGGGAGAGCTTCCATGTCCCATTCGCCCAGCACAACCCTCTGCTCCAGCTGCTCCCCAGTGGCACATGGCTCCCGGCACTGTTTAGCATGGAAATGATATGTATCAGTGCTAAATGCTTTCATATCTGCTTTGTGGCCCATCCGTGTTTACAGGGGGATTATTCTCCCAGGTTCTGCAGACGTCTGCTCCAGCCTTCTCAGCACCGTTTGCTGCACAGACGGTTTTGGTCTTTGCAGCTTTACAGCAAGAAAGGTCAATGTATTTCCTATGTGCAACTAATCCCCACGATTTGGCTCCTTCCTGCATGGAAACATGACATTTGGGGTAGGAAAGAGCTGGCCCTGCTTTGAGACGGGGAGTGTGGCACTGGGGAAGTCACTCAAATCCCTTCTCACCCTGTTTCCTTTGGGTTGTGCTGCTTTGAAGCAATATAAAGCATTTCCTTTCTTCTGAAGATGAAAAGTGCCTATCCAGAGACTGAGACAACTGTATGACAGTAGCTGTCTTGGGATAACTATAGCAGTATCCCTCCTGTTTATACAAAGCATCTTGCTCCATCTTGCTTCCACCACTCACAGGGGCCATCGAGATGGCTCCAAGCTAAAGCCATGCAGCCGTGTGAGCCTGGCAGGGTAAAGCTCTCCAGTCCCAGCTAATCTGCCAAAGGATTTTGAGCAAATTTAAAGAGGATGGAGCATGCCTATCCTGGGCCAGCACCACCCAGTGCTCTTGAGCTGGTGCCAGGAAACACCATCAAACCATTGCTAGGATGGCATGAAGAGGACTAACGCCAAGGTTGTGCTGATATAACCATGCTGGTAAACATGTCCTCACCTCACACTGGGCACAGCTATGCACCAGTGCTGCATCCTAGCTTGCTGTGCCCCCAGCAACACTGAGGCTGCTTGAAGAGTGGTGTCCTTATCCCCTCATGCAATGCAAAGGGGCCAGGAGGGATGATGGAAATCTGCATCACAGGCTTGTTCCCATGGCTGGGGGTGATGGGGTTATGTATCGAAGGTGTCTTGGAAGGCTGTTAGCTCATATCCCTCCCTGTTCTGAGCTCTTCCTCAACCACAGTCATTTCTGGCCAGCCTTGAAGTCCTCAGTGACTGCATTGCTGCTGCCTCTTGAGCAGGGTGAAGCCCGAGGCTCCTTCAGGAGCTGCTGCAGCACTTGCATTTGGTAATCAGGGCTTCACCTCCACATCTAATCAAAATGTACTCACTGTAGCCAGCCTGCAAAAGGTCATTTGTCCCTTCTGGGCAGTTCCACCACGCTGGTGGAGCGCAAGGAGCTGTTTCACACCTTAGTACCCTATAACAGGGGCTTTTTGGGAGGATACTTTTATTTCAAGGCCAAGGAGGGGTGGCTCAATCCCAGCCGTGGAGATGCTCAAGTAATAAATGCTTGAGTAACGCCTTGAAGCATTGGGGGAAATGGCACTGAGGGACAATTTGTGTTAATATGGGGTTGAAATTGGGGTGGTGGAGCTGCTTGCCTTCCCTCTGAGTCAGGATTGGCACTCAATGGGAGCAACTGTGGTTGTGTCTACATAGATCCTTACTCACATCCTACTTTCAGCACTGCTTTCAGTGGCACTGGATGTTTCTATTTCTCCTTGTAAGAGTCCAGTCCTTAAAAAATCCCAAGCAATCCTTCCCAAGCATTCAAGTTCCATGATCATCAATGTAAAATAATTACACAGGCTAATTAAGTACTATGATGGCAAAGTGTCTTTGTAATGAATTTTCAGCTTGTTGCTATTCACCAGCATCTGCTGTCCCTTGGGTCTTTGCTGCTGTTCTGGAAAAGAATAAATAAGAGGCATCAAACCTAGCTTCTGCAATGGGTTTCTGATGCATTTGCTCAGTGTTGTCACTTAAGACTGATCAATGCTTCTGTTGAGCATGTGTTTACTGAATATCTAATGTAGTGGGATGGGTTTGGGTCATATCTTGATCTCCTGGAAAGAGTGTTTGGAGTTGTTATTATCAAAGGCTGCAGAAAGTGTTTTATTCCCTGATATCTGTTGGGCTTTGCTGGTGGGTAAGCAAAGAAGCGTAATCCCTCACTGGCAGAGATTACCTAGCAAAGACTTCTAGCCTGGCTACAAATGAACAAAGTGGCTGGCTGTGATTTTACTGCATCCAGTCCAAAGTCCAGTTCAACTGCTGTAGCTGCTGAGACGTGCCAGGATACTGGTTTCAACCAGAAAACCTCATCACCTCCTCCACTACAATAAAATCTATGAATATAAGCAAGTTTCTATTGACATCCGTGTTTCCTAGATGATGGAGCTGGATGGTTTTATCAATGTGAGTATACACTTAAACCACTATGATTTTCCATATAGGTGAGCTCACATTTTTTGGTTCCCAAGCCTCAGTATCACTGCTTTTAATGTCCCTGCCAGGACTCATTGCTGCCTCTCTACCCCCTGCTCAGCCCCTTTATTACTGTTTCTGCCACAGTGGAAAAGATGCCAAGAAGGCTGAAGAGAAAAGAGATGCTGATGTTGTTGTCTCTGGTCAAACTGTCACCTGCTGTGAAATGTGTTCCCAAACCTGGCTGATGAAGTGCCTGTGAAGAAAACACTTTTGGGCATGCTGTGCTTCTCAGCCACAGGGTTTTGCTATACTCGGACCAATTTGATTTGCTTTATTTAAACACAAAGCTACGCTCCCATTTCCTCCTTGAAATAAAACCTCCAGTTAACGAAAGAGAGATCTTTCTGTTCAGTTCTGCCCAGCTTTTGTGTCATTTCCCTTTGCTTAGGTGAGCTTGCAGCGGCAGGAAACTTTTCTTTCCTGGGAAGGAATCGGCTGTACTCTCTCCTCAGCACACACACAAGGTTAAGGATAGCCATTTATTGTGATAACACTTTAACAGCTTAAAGGAGTGAATCGTGCAGCCAGGACCAGCCGGGGCTATTGGCAATTGGGTGCCAACTCCTTGGCTGATGGTTGAGTGCTACAAAAGGTAAAACAATCCTGGGAGCACTCCCAGCTCACTTGGCTTGAGTGCTTTCCGCTGGGCTGCTTTGGGAAAGCCTCATCTATTAATTAGGAAGAGGCTTTTCATCTGCTCAGATTCCCCCTTTCTTCCCCAGGGAAGTGTCACGGTAGGAAGCGGTCCTGCAGCTGCCCAGGGATGCTTGGCCCTGATGGGTGAAGTGACCTTGTACCTCCTTGATGGGCTTTGCAGCAGGGTGAGGCGAGAAGCAGCTGTGCATGGACCCTGGGGAGCTGAAATCATCAGGAAGACAAATTCACCCTCTGAGGCAATCTTGGAGCCCTTGGGATATGCACCTATCCCCCCTGGACAAGGGATGCTGATCCTTGCTGCATTCATTTCAAGCCTAACCTGGGAATTTCTGGGTTCCAGATGTCTGGGGTTGCAGCTGACCTGACTTTCCTGATGCAGCACAGTGACCTCAAGTCCAGCTATGGTTTCTGCCTGGAGGAGAAAATATTCCCTGCTCCTAAGGAAAGCAGCCTTTCTGATGGAGTGGCCAACAGTGTGTGGATGCCCCTGTGTCCCAGGACTGACCAGAATCAGGGATTCATGAGATGAGGGTAGGTCTCTCCTCCCAAGGAACAAGGGATGGGACAAGAGGAAACGGCCTCAAGCTGCACCAGGGGAGGTTTAGATGGAGCTGAGGAACAATTCCTGCCCCAGAGGGTGCTCAGGCATTGGAACAGGCTGCCCAGGGGTATCACTGTCCCTGGAAGTGTTCACACACCATGTAGGCAAGGCCCTGAGTGCCATGGGTTAGTGGTGGCCTTGGCAGTCTGGGGAATGGTTGGACTTGATCTTAATGGTCTTTTCCAACCTGGTTGATTCCATGATTTTATCCTATGATTCACTGAGAGGTATTTTTGAGGCACACTTAAAATATGAGGTTCAAACATCAATGCCAAGAGACATTGCCCTGCACTGGGGACAGTGTACTGAGAGGAAGACAGATAAATCAATGCTGATAAGAGGACAGGACAAGGGAGATCTGTGGGGCTCAGCTGCTCCTCTTCCTGGATGAGGGTTTGCTTGATATCCCTGTCCATGCGTTCTCATTAAACAATGTGAGGTTAAATAATGAAGGTGACCCAAGAGAGGAGGAGAGCTCACACTGGGCTGTCGTTTGGAGGAGGGATGCTGCACACAGGCCTCCTTGGTCCATCTCACTGATGCCCAGTCGAGTGCCATGCTGGAGAAGCACTGGGCTCATGTTGTCAGCATGCGCCACTTCCCAAGGGCTGTGCAGAAATCAACAAATGAAGCCTCATGGCCCCGCTGCAATTCTCATTAGCACCATCCTAACGACTCCCCATGTTAAATAGCCTCGAAACCAACTTTCCAGTTTTGTAAATATCCCTCCCTAGGAACCACTGCATGAGTCAGGCAGGGCTTAAATGGACCCCAAGGACGAAGGCTGGTGCTGAGCTGCACTTACCAAGCAGCAGACATGAGACAATTAGTTTCATCTTTGCCTCCTGATGGAGGCCCCTTCCTCAAGCTGGAAGTGGCTCTCACACGTGCCAGCCCTACCCCGACTGAACAAGTTATACAGGGATGACAGGTCAGATGCATTGAGACACTGGAAATGTGAAGCCTGGCATGTTGTCAGGCTGTCCCAGGGTGATGGGCACTGCACTAAATCCTGCTTGGATCCATGCTAATAAGTCCCTACTGAGCAAAGGCAAAACCTTGCAGGAAGCAGCACTCACTGCTTGAGCGTGGCAGCAATTGCAGGGTATATCCATCAGCAAAGCCAAGGCAGAAATTCTCCTCCCTTGCATCACAAGGTGCTTCTGGGGGTCAGAGTCCATAGAGCTGGCCACATGTTGCACCCAGGGACGTGAGTAAGAAGGAAACAAATACCGTTTATCACAGCCTAACATGGCCAGGGACAACCACCTTGCCAAGCAGAGTGATGAAACCTTCAGGGAGCAAACCACATGAGTGATGACCAGGTTTCCCCTCTGCACCATGCCAGGGACACATTTCCACTGGCAGCCTTGCTCTCCCTTGGCTTTCTGCCTCCATTCCTTGGGCTGGGGATGCTCTTTGCAGGGCCACGGTGGCCTGGGCTTGGCCAAGCATTGAACCAGTTGGTGCCAAGCTGTGATTATGAAGAAGGGGTTTTTAATGCTGCTGTTAATGGAGCTGGGTGGCGGGCAGCCATCCGTCAGTGCCGGGCCTCCATGGCCATCCATCACCCTGAAGGAGAGAGCTGCTCTGTGCAGCAGGGACCGGAGTGAGCTGGGCAATTACTTGGTGCCTGCTCTGTGCTTCATTCAATCATGGGAAAATGAACTCTGCAGCAGCCCTGAGCTGGGGGGGGAATTGTCTCTTTGTCCTCTCCCTTAACCACCTTCCCTTCCCAAACCCCTGTCACTAAACCAGACCTCTCACTGCTGAGATGATCTGATTGAATATAGGCCAAATGCCAGTTTTGGCACAAAACTTGGGTCTGATCCAGCTGGATGCAAACCCATGCATGGGTGTGGAATAGGAGTGAGCTGCCCGTGACCCTGCTGGTCTCACCTAACTTGGCTGAGCTGGCCGTGCCGTGGCCACATCCCCAGATGCTCCATAGACACCCCTACACCCTCTGTTACCCACCCCTGCCATTGGGGTCCCCAGGGGATGCCTGGGGTGGGATGGGATGCAGGACACTCACCCGTGTGGTTGGTGACAGGCGTCAGGCTCTCACAGTACTGCTCTTGGATGGAGGCAGCAACTGGGCTATCCCAGAGGAGAAATGCCTGCACGGGAAGAGAGCAGATGACAGGGAGGGTTACATGTGAGATATGCCACTTCCCCAGCCCACAATACCCCCTTGGACATAGCAGGGTTTGAGCTCGTCCATCTTGGTGGATGTTGCCCTGCAGAGCTGAACGGTGGGCCCTTTTGCAGGCTGGGTTATCCATCCTGGGGCCATGGGGCTGATGCTCTCTGCTCTGTTTTCCACTCACAAATCCTCTCATGTCCCAAATATCCCCCTCAGCAAAGCACAGTTCAGCCCTGCACAGCCCCTGCTGGGTTGCGGAGCTTCTGCTCCTTAGCAATTTAATCAACACTTTTAGCTTTAGCATCTTTGAATCCTGAGAGCAGACAGGGGGAAACATGATGAGCCTGACACCATGCTCAGATTTTCAATACCTTATTAAAATCACAGCCTTGTAAGCTGTCAGTGGGGAGATGTTAATACACATCCTTAAGGAGATCTCATCCACAGGCTCTGGCTAAAGCCTTTCTTTAGGGAAAAAGACTTGTCTGCAAACACTGACATCCCCATTGCATTGGGAAGCACTGACCAGGATCTATTGCATCCCTCCTCCAGAGCAGCTCCCTGGTGGCTCTGCAGCTCCAACAACTCTGTCACCTTTGGGAGCTACTTTGGAAAAGCTACTGCTGAGTGACCTTATCTTTGCAAGAGCTTGGGGAAACTAAAGCTGAGGAAGGCAACTGCAAGTGGAAGGTGCAGAGGGATGGGGCTGCCAGACCCAAGGTGCACCAGGGAGGCAGATGGGGCAAGGAAGGGACCTGATGCTTTGTGGAACACAGTTTCCACGCTCTTTCTCCTCCAGCTCAGAGGTAGGTGATGGGCTGATCCCTAATGCTCAAGGGGTGAGTGCTGATAGTGGATGACGCTAAATCCACTTCTTCCACCCCAAACCTGCCCTGCAAGGACTGACCAAACCCCTTGGAGGAGCGCTGGCTGCCAACTGAACAGCAGATCCATGGCCCAGTATGCAACCGTATACAGATCTCTTGGGAAACTCAGACCCGAGTTTGGAGGCAGGAAAGGCTGCAGCATCCTCCACTTGTGAGCAAGCTCCCAGCTCCCCAGGGTGATGCGTTCTGACACCATCCTGTGTTGAGCCAATGCAATGAACAACAACCTCCGCCTTCCCCACTAGGCTGGTCCCTAGAGCCTGATCTCCCTTTCCGAGTGTCGTTTACCTTCTAAACTGCTCTGGGTGGGGGGAAAATGGTCCTTCTCTTGCCCTTTAGCTGTTTCAACACTGGCTGATCTTGCTGGCACACCTAGCAGTCCCCTGTGCCTTACCAAAGCATTAGAAGGATTTATGCAGACACAGACAAGCTCAGCACCCACTTGCTCTTTTGCAAACAACTATTTACTGCCTTGGGAAGCTGGTTTTGACAGCAAGAGAGATGTCAGGCAGACATAGAAATGGAGCTGAGAATAGTTTCCTTGTTATGACTGCTCCAGATGGCACAGGGGATCTGGCAGCAAAACCCTGCCCCGAGTGCAGGCACTGCATTGAGCTCCTGTTCTGCTGGTCCTGCAGGAGATGGGCACCTCCTGGGTCCCTTTGCTAAAAGCTAAGGCCACCTAAACTCCATCCACGGGCCAAGTGAGGTGTAGCAGGGTCGGCTCCCCTCTGTGTTGATGCCTATTGATGGTGCCTGCTCGACCTGCATGGACAAGAGTTCCTCCCAACAGGGGCTGGGGTGGTTTGCAGCCCTGAACAGGCTCTCAAGTGTTAACTGGATGTGTTCCTCCCAATCACAGCCTGCTCCAGCCTGGCAGTGCCTGTTCTCCTTCCAGACACAGGGAGAGGTCTTGGCACTGAGCAAGCAACATGAACCAAGCTACAGATAGAGGGGTGTATGGATGTAGTGCAGTCAGTCCCTGGCTCTTTGCAGGCTTTCTAAATGAGCTGAAACAGCTACAGAAGGAAGAAAGACAGAAAGGAGGAAAAAAATAGGTTCCCTAAACCAGAACAAACCCAAAACCCTAACAGCTTTTTGTTACCAGGCTCTGAGCCTTGTCTCACTGCAATGTGGCCAATGCTCTTGACAGGCAGAGGATCTTTCCTGCTCCCATCAGTCAGCTCGAGGGGGATAAGGTGGGGAACGTGGCAGCTGCATGTGCATTTGCACCAGCCAAAAGCACCCTGATCTGGTACCCTGACAATGGGCTCCCATCTGTTTTGCCTTTTGTGGGTTGCTTCAACCCCTCCCAAAGCTTTGCAGAGAGAACAGGTCAAAGCTCCGTCCTTGAAGAGCTTCTCATGCCAGAGCATCCCTGCCCTAAGATGCCACATGGTGCCCAGCAGGTCCCAGCCGAGCCAAACATGCCTCAACAGCCCTGAAACAGCAGTGGGTCATGCTTGGGCCAGAGAACGGCCGTGTCCCTCTGCCCTCCCAGCCCTGCTTTGACATAGGCTATGGCAAATCATGCTCTGCAGTGAACAGCACTTCTGTGACTGCCAGGATCCTGGAGAGCTTCAGCTGAGGGTTCAGCTGCACGGGGAAGGAAGCAATCTGCTCTTCTAGAAGCAGATGCTTTGCATAGGGGTCAGTTGCTCCTATGGGGATGACAGTTCTGCTGGGAGCTGCACGGGCCCCATGAGGCCCCACACTGGCAGCAGCTTCTCCTCCATCAGGAGCCACCAATGTCTCCACTGCTGTTTCCTGAGCTCCCTTCCAGGCTCTGCTAACATCTGTGTTTTACACACAGGGAGGCACTGTGTCAGATGTTGATGGTGCTGGGTCAACCCTGGCGCACGCTGACCCTCACTGCACGTCTCAAGGCACCAAAACCATGATGCTGAGCCACTGCTTACTGCATCCCCCCCACAGCAAACACCAGCTGCAGTCAGTGTCGCACCACCCGCAAATCAAGGCTGTCCCAGAAGGGAAACTGAGGCACTGAGTACCACTTGCCCAAGGTCACTCAGGTTGTGCTGCACCATGTGGGCAGGTTGCTCCCATCTGCACCCACTACCTCTGTCCTGATGCAATGTGACTGGGTTTTCTGGAGCCATTCCCTGTGCCCATGAGATCCCCTGGACCAGGAGATGCAGCACAGCAGGCTCAGACAGTGTCTTTGGCCTAAGGAGGCTCTCACTGCTGGTATGGGTGCGTGTGTGCAGCTAAATCACACACACACAGAGTCAGTCTCTGTGACCTACCACTGACCCAGCAGCAAGATTCAATTAATAACCATTAGGAATTAATGTCCCCCTGCAGTGCTTTCCCTCTCCAAAGCAATCCATAGATATTAATTAATATATTCACATCCAAGCCAACCATCAACCCCCCTCACCGCGCTACCCAGAGACAGGCTTCTCCCCCCGTGGTTATCTTAGTGCCTCAAACAAGATCAGATCTGCATGGCAGGAAGGGCTGACAGCTCTGAGCAGTGAGATAGACGGCTCATAGCCTAATTAACAACCTAAAATGGGGCTTGGGTTTCCCATTGCTGAGCAGGCTGTAATTGGAGAGCAGGATTAGGATGGGATTAGAGGGATGAAGCGGTGCGAGGCGCAAAAGCTGGAGAAGTCAGCGGGAGCGATGGGTGGTGGTGGCCACTGAGACCTCCCTGGGAGGGTGATCAGCACCAGCCACCCTGGAGTCACCCTGGCCAGCAGGACCTGTATCCCCATCAATTCTATTCCCCAGCTTGGCTGGAAGAAGAAAGACCTCCTGGGATACACAGGCTGAGCACAATCTCTGCCCTTGACTCTTGCTGCGGTTCCCTGGGGTGTTGGGCTGGGATGGAGACTTCTCTTGGCCCTGAGCCTGCAGGAAAAGGTCCCAGACTTTGGGTGTTAAATACAGTGAATGCTGGAAGAGCTGGATGACAGCCGGTGGTGGCAGAGCAACATCAGCAGCACAGGGCAGGGAGCAGCACATCTTGCCAGCACCGCAGCCAGAGGCTGGAGGTGGCCTTGAAAAGCCTCATAGAGTTGTCCCCTCATATGTGTTTGGAGGGGGCCAGGGAGCCTCCAGCCCTCCCAGTCTCCTGCCTTCACTCTGCTCTGATAGATCCCTTTGCCCTCGTCTCCTCCAATTCCCAGGCACCCACTCCTCAGCTGGTGAGCTTCTCACCACCTCTGCCTCGAGGGCTTTCACTTGGATAAGTCCCATCCCATGTCCAGGCCACAAATGAACCCCCCAGGGATCATCTGGCCCATGAAGGACCTGCTCCACAACCCCTTAGCCCTGACAGTGACCTGCTTTGCCATGCCTTAAGCTCCCGGTTTCTCTGAGACCCCTGCTTTACCAACAAGCACCTCATTGCTCCTTCCCTTGCTCTCGTGCAAAGCCACGTCTGAAGCCCTGCCTAGTATCAAGGCATCAAGGCAAAGCACAGGCAGCAGAATAAGACTCAAGGCAAGAACCATGGCAGGGGTTTTCTGGCTGATGCTCCTCGGGGGGAAGAGCAGGCAGTGAGAACTTAGCCATGTTAGAGGGTCAACCCCATAGTGTGTAGACAGAGGCTTTGGTGTATTTATTCTCATTGGATCTCTCTCTGAGCGTTTTGGATGCAGACCCTAACAAAAGGATATCTGTGAGGGCTAAACGAATGCCCTGTAAAACCTGATTTAGGAGCAATGAAAGGTTTTCCTGGATCAAGCTCTCATCTCTCTCACTTGCCATAAATAATTTTGTTTTTATTTCTCTGTCAGAAGGGGTACGGATTTTTGGGGACAGGTGAACAAAAGAATAATGGCATTTTGATAATGGAAGCTAAAGGCACAAACAAGGGGAAGGGGCAGAATCCAAGTGGCTCCTCTGCATCCAGAGCAAAGGCTGCTGAAGAGGAGCTGGAGTGATGGACACAAGCACAGGGGAGGGCTGTTTCCTAAGGTGCTTGTATTAAACCACCCTGCAGCCTGTCCATGTGACACATTCACTTTCATTCTGGCCTTGCAGATTTGTTTCTTGCCTCCCAAGACCCACATCTCGGCTGCCCCAAGACCCCTCCTTTACCCATCACCTTTTCAGGGTCATGTCCTGGGCTAAACATCCACTTGTTTAATTCACCTTTCCCTCAGTTGATCTGCATTCACAGCTCGGGAAAGCTTGGCTACACCAAAGCTGCATCTGCCAATGCCTTTCTAGGGTGAATAGTACAGGATTTGGGGGTGGAAGGAGGGCTGTAGCACCCTTTGCCTCTGCCATTTGAATGGAGGCGCTCGCTCTGGGTGGGTGAATCACAGCAGGACACTGCAGAGAGGGAGGGTCTCTTCTATTAGCTCAAAATACAGCTAGGGGAAGAGGAAAAACAACAGATGGGCCTCTGGGTATGTTACACCATCTTCAGAAAGAGCCACCCGCTCATGAGTGACAGCTCTCAAGTGTTGGACAAGGGCTCCTGGGCTCTGTTTGTTGAGGGAAACCTATGCTAGTGATTCATGCTTCCCTTTGGGTCCAAATACTGCTCACCAGGATAAACCCAGAGATGCAGCCTCTGCAAATGCTGCAGGCTCAGAGCTCAGCTCGAGCTCGCTGCTCACAACAAAGTTATGGTGAGCAGAGCTGTGTTTGAGGGCAGGGTTGAGCTGGCTGTGCAGGCGACTCTCGTCGTATCTCTGTGTATTCATCCTATGGTGATGGAGCAGCTATTCTGGGAACAGGCTGTGCCATTTCCATTCACTCCTTCATTGGAGATGTGAAACCACGGGGATGATTTCATACACACTGAACCAACTCCAGCTTTTAAGGAAAGTGAGGAGCGGAAGAGATCCCCAGGGTCAGCTGCTACTGCAGCTCTACATCTTATACAAGGTTTTGAGCAGTGGAGGGGTAGTGGGCTGGTTTTAGGGCTTAATGCTGTTGAAGCTGATAAGGAAAAGAGAAAACTACCCCACCCCCAGCATCAAACTCTGCTTTCTACATAAAATGCTTTTGCAATCACTTTTTAGCAGCCCCAGAAATGTCACCAGTTCCTGTCAAAGCTGCAGGTGAACTGTTTCCTTCCTAAGAATTTCTTCAGTTTCTTTAAATGACTTGCAGGGTGCCAGAGAGCATTTTGCAGCAAGTTTGGTTCCCTGCCTCCTGGTCTGCCTGCCTGACCCCTCAGGAGGCCTACCCAGCAAGGCAAGATGGATAAATCAGTGCTAAACTGGAGCTGCTGGCCAGATGCATGAGGAATACCTTAGCTATGCCAGCCCAGGGCTGAGCTCTCCCTTGGAGGTGCAGGGATGCGCGCTGGATGCTGCTGTGGGTACCCCTAGCTGCAGGGATATGCTCACTTAAGGCTGGAGTTTCATGGTCCTGAGGAAAGGGTTGGGATTGTGCTGGAAAAGGGTCTGAATTTGGAATGTAGGTATTTCTAAGAAAAGGAAATTATTTTTTATATATATTTATGAGAATAAATATATATATTTATATATAAATTTTATATTTTATATTTTTATATATATTTATAAGGAAAAAAACCTGATAATTAGGCTGTAAAAGGGTGCTTTGTAGATTGGGTTTCTTTCTGCAGATGGCTGGGAGAGACTTCTCTTTGCTTGAGCTGCTTTTGAGACCCCTTCCTGGTCCCAGCTCCAATGCAGGAGTGGTTTAGCTCTGGAAGCCCCATCTTCACAAGAAGACTGCCCTTGCGGAATGGTAAGGAGACCCCCAAGCCTGAGGATGGAAGCCGTGTCCCAGCATCTTTGGGCTTTAGCACAGTTTGCTCACATAAATAGCTACTGGGAGCTGTCACGCTCTTGTGGCTGTCCCAGTCTCAGACCCTGCCCCTATTGCACCGGGTCCGTGGCTTTGCCAGCAGTGTCCCACATATTGGCCAAGGAGGATCTGGGCTGGGGGAATCCTGCCCTGTCTCATCTTTGTTTCTTACACTGGAACCAAGAAACAACTCGAACCTGGAGCTGTAACTGCGCAAGAGCTCCTGCACACCCCTATTCCTGTTTTATAGGAGCTGCTAAGAAGAGCTTTTCAAAGCAGCACCAACTTGGCAAGGAGGTCGCCTGGTGCGCATCAGCTCCCCTCATTGATTAGGTGAGAACTTCCCTATCCCAAACGTGCAGCAAATCCTCCTCCCTGATCTTCCCACCACGATGCACAATGAGAAACCAGCCCGCGGGGTACAAACCCCAACGGAGGCTACGGGAAGGGCTGACCCTTTGCTGTTCTAACTGCAGTCACAACTGGGCCACTGAGACAGCATTTTGCAGAGAGCCAGGGAGATTTCTTTCTTTGACACAGCAGTTTAACCAAAAACCTGATCATTTTGCTGGTTTGTTCAAGTAACATCCCAGATTTCACTTTAAACCTTTTTATCTCCTCATTTCCCCAGGGTTTAGGATTGGAACATGCTTTGGGCCGGGAACATTTCCTTTCTTGATGAGCCCTCCGGGAGGAGGGATATTGCTTCTGACAAAGCATTTGCATTTTGTGCAGAGCTGCAGAATTAGCAGTGGCTCCAGTTCCTCCGTGTAGAGAGGAAAGTCTGCTGCTTTGAGGGTGGGGAGTGAAAGGAGAGGTTCCTTTAGAAAAGCAATCAAGGGGGTTACAATTAGGCTCTGCTTTGTGTTGTCCTGATCCATCACTCCCCAGAAGCCTGAGGGGAACCGGTTTCCCGGGGAGGTGCTGCGCTCGGGAGGATGTGGCTCCGAGTGTCCCCGCTGGTTTAGGGGCATTGTCAGCTCTTGCCAAGCCCCTGGACTGGAGGAATTCGCGCAGGGCCCTTTGTGTGCCGGGCTCTCCTTTTACTTTTCCCTCCCTTCCAAGAAAAGGAAAAGTCACTGCGGAGGAAGGGAGCGGTGCAGGGTGCAGCGGGGCGATGGGGAGGGAGGCAGAAGGGTCCCTGCTGGAAGATAAGGACTCAAAAGCATCTTACCTGCAGGAGGAGGAGGAGGAGGAGGAGGGCAGGACGCAGGCTGGGCACCATCCTTAGCTCCCGCTGCGCCCAGCTCCCAGGGGCATGGCTGGCAGCGGTCCCGCTCCCGCTCGGCTCCTTCTGCCGTCGGGGATAAAATCCTCGGGGCTCCGTGCAAAGGAGCGTGTCCGGGTCCCAGCGGAGCTGCTCGGGGGCGGGAGGGCACCTTTGGCATCAGCCACCAGCTCCTGCCTTTTATAACCTCCCTCGGAGCCGGTGCTTTGGCTTCCCACCCTGCGGCTCGCCTGGCGATGGGCTACATCCCTCCCCGCTACATCCCACTCCCCCCTCTCTCCCTCCTCCTCTTCCTCCTCCCCTTTTCCTTCCTCCACCTCCCTAGTGCCTTCCAACTCAAGTTATTTCATTCTTTCCCCCTTTTTCCGTCCCTCCTCCCTCAGCATCTTTTGCAGCAGAAACTTCCCACGGGCCCAGGGACCCCTCTGGACCCGGCTCTGCCCTCTCTGCCCCCCACACTCCCATGCGAAGAGCTGCAGCTTGCAGGAGGGTTTATGTATTCGGGGGTTTGGCTCCAAGGCTCTGGCACAGGGATGCGGGGGAAGGCGAGGCCAGCCTTTGCAAAGCGGCTGGTGAAAGAAGGAGGTGAGAGCCCCTTTCCCCTTACTATAGGGATGGAGTGAAGGGGCTTCAGAGCTACCTTGTGAAGGAGATACTCCTGAGACAAAGAGGGGATGTGGGGCAGGGGGATGGTGGTCCTTCCATGCAGTGGGGCCATGATGGGGGCACGTGGTCATAACAGGGGGAAGCTGAGTCATGGAGGAGGTGGGGGTCCTGCTGGGAAGGTAATGGAGGGGCAGAGGTGATGGAGCAGAGCAGGGGGGTTTGAACTGAGAGAAGAAGGGAGCACTGCTTTGGGGGTTGTGTGTCCTGGGGAGGGTGGGATACAGCAATGGGTGGTGCGGTGGAGCCTGGATGATGCTCCTGGGCTAATGACATCTCCCCCAGCCTAACCCTCAGACCTCTTATGTCTCTCCCATCACATCTCCTGCCATCCCCTGGCACCCTCCACCTTGGGTGTCTCTTACATCTCCTATCTCTTGGGGGATGCCATGGCCAGGCTTGGGTCCATCTCTGAGCTCAGTGACTCAGGAGAGCCAAGAAGGGGATGGCAGAAGGCATTGCCATTGAGGTCACCAGCCCGGGGGAACACCAAAGATGCTTCCACACTCCCAATCACAGCCTCTGCCTCTGCAGACCATGGTGTATTGCAGACAGATAAATGGGAGGGCAGTGTCCCTTGATGGATTCACCGCCAAAGCCTCCATCCATCTTTACTGAGCTCCTTTCTGTCTCTCAAGCATGGGAGAGGGCAGGAGGGGATTCAAGGGCCTTCTTGCATCTGCTGGACCAGAGCACAAGCAACCAGGCAGGGCTGCAACCAGCACAAGGGTGCAACCCATGCCCCATCTCAGATCCCAAAGGATAAATGCTCCTGGCTCAGTAATTAAAGTGAATAAACAGCACAGACATTAATCTTCCAGCTTGAGCTGGATTTATTCTGTTGTGTCATTGATTTGGCAAAGAAGTTTGAAAATACGTAAAGCTCTGTTAAATTCAGGTAAGTTTTTCTTGCTTAGGTCTCTGAACATCCCTAACCCTGACGAGTGATAGGATGAGACACGCTCCAGAGCCACTCTTGCGTTACCCTTCACGTCAGTAAGCCCATTGAAAACGCAGGATTGTCTTCAAAGGGCTTGAGAAAGCTCCCTCACTCTTGGGCAGCCTGGATCCAGCCCCTTCACTGAGGTCATCATGGTTCTAGGGCATAGCTCCAGGTTTTAGGGGGCTGCTCAGGGCCTTGTGCACCCCAAAAGAGTGGGGAGCACCGGAGACCCTGTTTCCACCCAGAGACCTGGGGGATTGTCCTTTGCCATCTCAGCCTGCCCATGGCCACCATGTCCAGTAGCCACGCTTTTCCAAGGTGCCCAAAGTGTGAGGTGATGGGAGAAGAACAAAAGTGAACATCGACTATTTTTAGTCAAGGAATTGGTTGCCAGGGACATGAAGATAATTCCTTCCCCATATATCAAGGCAATGGCTGCGGTGCTGTTTGAGAAGCCTAATTGAGGGGATTTATAGTAAAATGCAACTTGTCAAATGTGGCAAAGGCAAAATAAAACAGTCCCTGAGACGAGGAAATCAGTCCATTCGTCATGGTTAATCTGAAGCTCCTCGGTGCCGCACAGAGACAAATGTGGGAGATGGGTATTAGGGATGGGGAGACAGATCGGATCTCCAGGAAGAAGGGAGAGGGGTGGTTTAGCCTGACTTCATCTGCCTTTGGTTTATTATTCTTATTTATGTCGCTGCACATGGTTTGATGCTCCTGTTTCTGAGCAGCTCCATGACAGGGGCTGTTTCTGTGACTTACATCACTGCAGTGCTCCTACATTGTCCCCTGCACTCATCCCTCTCCTTGGTGGGAAAAACATGCAGCTCCATGTGTCCAGGCTGCACAATGGGGATGAGATTGGAGCCAGTTGCTGCACCAGGGGCAATGGAGCATGTAGGTCCCCACTTCCCACATGGAGCATCAGTAGCACTGTGGGCCATGTTTTGCTGCCAAATGGGACATCTATAGGAATAAGATACTCCTTGGTGTCATGGACATATAGATCAGGTTGATGGAAGAATGGAGTTGGAAAACACAGCTGAGATCAGCAGCGGGCCTCAGTTTCCCTATCAGTGTCTTGGGACTGTTTCTTTCCTGCTTAAGGCGAGTGAAGCTGAGGATGCTTTTCAGTGTGGTGCTTGGTGGAGGAAGGACTTAGCCCATGAAGTAACTGGAGGCTGAGAAGGAACCCACCCCAACACAGCAGGTTTCTCCCATGGGAATTGCTTTTCGCCCTGGTTTTGAAATCCAAGCTTGGGCTTTTGTGCCTGACTCTTTTCCCTCCTCCTAGACCTGCAGAGAGGGGAAGAACACGCTCTCAGACCCTGCCTGACAAAAGAAAGTGGTAGCTGGGACCATGTTTCCCTCATTCCAGGTCACCACATCGTATAATCATGCCCGAAATTTAGGTAGCCCTGTTGTATTTGACCATTCTATATGGTCTGCCTCATCCTTGCAGGCCTTACGGCTGCTCTGAAAGGGAGAGCAGGAAAGCTTAAACCACAGAACCGTTGAGTACATTGAAGAGAAGGAAGCCAAAGGCTTGTTACTCAATCAACAACCTCCTTTAACGGTTATTACCTTAGAGCTGTGCTGGCAAAACCATTTCTTAGGTGTCTTCTGGCGACTTCAGACTCCTCCTCATCCCATCAACCTCTGCTGCAGCTCATAGCATCCCAGACTGGTTTGGGTTGGAATGGAGCTTACTATTGAGTTCCCACTGCCATGGGCAGGGACACCTTCCACCAAAATGGATGATGAATGGAGATGCAGAAGTTGTCCATGTGGTCATGCAAGGAGAGACACCAGTGGACATGCATTAGGCTGGGTTTTGCTCTGACTCACTGCTCAGTGCAGCAAACGACTGATTCCTTCAGTATATGGATAACTCCCTCCTGCCTTTTCTTCTCCGTTCCCCCAGGCTGTGTGCATCAACAGGAGATACCACGTTCACAAAACCACCCAAACTGCCAAATAGACCAAGCAAACTGAAGGAACCCATAAAAATCTGGGATCTAAGTGAATGTCTCATTTGATTTCTGAGGGGCTTAAAACAGCTTGTCATATTTTTCAGATTTCTTTTGAGAGGAAGTGTCAATTTTGAATAGAACAGAAACACAAAAGCTTTTGTTTTACAGCTAATGGAACCTCAAGGCAGAACGCTAAACTAATCACAGTAATAGTCATAATTACTGTTTTTCTCAATCAAAGTGCTTTAGCAAAGTCAGCCACCATTTGCCCATCAGCTGATTGGCATTTGCATCAAACAGAACTCCACGGTTTTACTCTGCAGACTGATTCCATCAATCCACCAACCAAAAGTGCTCTGCTTTCATGGACCATATAACAGAGACATGCGCGGCCCAGTCAGCATCAAGGCATCCTGTTGGTGACTGTGTCTGTGTTAGCAACTTGGTCCTGCCTTGCAAGGTGCTGCTGCATTTTACATGATGCTGTTGCATGGACATACAAGAGTTGCATGGGTGTACATGATGATGTTGCATGGACGTGCAAGAGTTGCATGGGAGTACATGATGCTGTTGCATGGATGTACAAGAGTTGCATGGGTGTACATGATGATGTTGCATGGACATCCAATATTTGCATGGGTGTACATGATGACGTTGCATGGACGTGCAAGAGTTGCATGGGTGTACATGATGACGTTGCATGGACGTGCAAGAGTTGCATGGGAGTACATGATGCTGTTGCATGGACGTACAAGAGTTTCATGGGTGTACATGATGATGTTGCATGGACATCCAAGAGTTGCATGGGAGTACATGATGCTGTTGCATGGACGTGCAAGAGTTGCATGGGTGTACATGATGCTGTTGCATGGACGTACAAGAGTTGCATGGGTGTACACGATGCTGTTGCATGGATGGTGGCCAGGGCAGCTCTGCTGACACAGGGACATGGCTGTGACTCTGGGGATCTGCCAGCAGTATGGTCACAACCACAGGGTTGCACATGATGCAGCTGATGCACCCTTCCTTTGGGCATGACCACACCACATCAAGGGTGATAGAAATGTCCTGTAGACAAAGACTGTGGCTTCCTCAGAAAAAGCTTGTGGCAAAAATACCCCTCCCACTCACCAGGTCTGCAAATGCCAGTCAAAGCAGGAGAGATTCTGGATGTCTTTAAAACCTGGTTATTTATTCCCTGTACATTTGATGAAATATTAATCTCCTCATCTGCAAAAGGCAATCAAATAAAGCGCAGAAGGGATGACGCACAGGGCCTCAGAGGAGGGAGCAAAAAGCAGCAAAATAGAAGTACCAATGCAAACGTAATGTAAAATTCTATAAGAGGCATCTCTGTGGTGGCACGAATGGCAGAGACAAAGCGACCTGGTGCCCTCAGGGCAGATGGGCTCAGGAGGCTGAGTAAGACCATGCTGGGAAGAGGACCCAGATCAGGCAATTGCTTGGGCAGATCTTAAGCTTTCCTGTAAGGGCTGTTGGTGGGATTTCTTTGAAGGTTTCCCCTTCCTTCTCTTCTGCTTTAATTAGAGGGGGGTTTGTGCCAAGACGCCAGCCAGCTTGGGCCATTGTGCTGGAGATGGGAGGAAGCCAGACGGTGGATGTGTTGGAGGTGGTGCCGTCTGTTACTCGTAGCTGTTTGGCATGATGGTGAC